AAGACTAGGCCGAGCCTGTTGGGAAACACAAATGGCTAACCCTCAGTCCGACACCCTACGCTACACCCTAAACCCTAAACCCTAAACCCTAAACCCTAAACCCTAAACCCTAAACCCCTAAACCCCTAAACCCTAAAACCCGAAACCCTAATGCTTGAAGGTGGAGCTTGTGATAAAAAAATTCTGGGACCTCAGCTCCGTTTTGACACAAGACAACCTCTGCTTCGGCAAGAAGCGGCCTATGATTCGCAACAGCCCCATTTGTCCCAACTCACAACTGCAAAAAGTTCACAACTGCAGGAAGAAGCGGCTTCACTGCCTCAAACCCCCCACCCGCGCCCCCGCCCACTCAACCCATGCGCCCCCCCCCCCCCTCAGGCCTCAACTCAGAAGCCGTGGAGACAGCTGAAGCCACAAAACCAAACTCCCCCCCCTTCCCTTGGCTTGATTCCGACTGAGAAGCCTGAAGCCCAAGGAAACTAGAGTTATAGGGTTTATAGGATTTACTAAGTGGCTGAGTTCATAAGCCCCCAAAGAAGTGTACACTTTCAGTTCTATGGGGGGCGGGGGGTTATAGTACCTCAAAAAGTGTAAAGTGTGCCCCCTCAGCTACTCAGTATAGGGTTTATAGGATTTAGGTTTTAGGAACCAATGCCTCCCGCAAAAGGGGTTATATAGGGGGCTGAGGGGTTAGACCACGCGGGCCACGGCAAACGCAACAAGCACGGCCACCTCGCTCCACCTGTGCTTCATGGACCAGTCGAAGTACTCCTTGTTGGACTTCTTCTCTCAGAATTTAGGATTTAGGGATTCGAGAAGACAACTGATTAGGGTTTAGGGTTTAGGGTTTAGGGTTTAGGGTTTAGGGTTTAGGGTTTAGGGTTTAGGGTTTAGGGTTTATTGTTTAGGGTTTAGGGTTGAGGGTTGGTCAACTTGCCAGGCTGGGGTAAAGCCGCAGCAAGCCCTCGACATCATCAAATGGGATGGTTCGAGAAGTTCCTCTGCACGCCAACCTTCACCGCAAGTGGTGACCCGACACCCCCCTAAACCCTAAACCCTAAACCCTAAACCCTAAACCCTAAGCCCTAAGCCCTAAACCCTAAACCCTAAACCCTAAACTGCCCCACCACCCCTCACCCCTACAGTAAACTGAGGCCCCTGCTTCGAAGTCGACCATCGAGTTTGCGTCTCTGTCCATGTCCTGCAGCTGTCAGCCGATTGTTCTCAAAACAAAAACCCTCACAGCCAGCAATGCGAAAGCGCTTGGTATTCAGGGTCAGTGGAAGACTTAGCCATCTGGAAGATCTCAAAGAATCGTGGGCGCATCCACACGCACAGAGAGAGAGAGAGGGAGAGGAAGGGATAGAGAGAGATGGAAAGCGAAGAGAAGAGAAGAGACAAGAAACACGAGAGCAGAGACAAGAGAGAAGAGAGAAGAGACAAGCGAGAAGAGAGAAGCGAGAGAGAGAGAGAGCGAGAGAGGCAAGCCCCTTCGTGTGAAAGTTTGCATCCAAGCCTAGCCCTTAACTAGCCACGTTCGAACTATCCGGAGTCTTTTGAGACGAGATCCTGCTTGAATTTTCTCGTTCGCGTAAGGTTTCGTAGAGAATTTGGCACCCGCATCAAACCCCGCTCTCTACCCTCTTAATGGACTCTGTAGGGGCACCGAATTAAACCCTAAACCCTAAACCCTAAACCCAATGCCCTCCTACGAACCAGGAAGGAAAGAAGGCGAGAGCTGCTTCCTGGAAATACTTCTTGACCTTGCGCGCCAGGTTCGCGGGAAGGTCCTGGTGAGACATGCATTGGTTGCTCTAGACCGTGAACCTGGTTGCTGAGTACCCTGGGCCTAAACCCTAAACCCTAAACCCTAAACCTTAAACCCTAAACCCTAAAACCCTAAAACAGTTTAACCTTTGAATTATGGTAGGATTTTATGGATTTTACATACACTTAAAAGTTTGAAGGTTACCTGGGCATCGAAGTGAGCGGCTTCCAAGGTTTAGGGTTTAGGGTTTAGGGTTTAGGGTTTAGGGTTTAGGGTTTAGGGTTTAGGGTTTAGGGTTTAGGGTTTAGGGAGCTGACACGCAGCAACACAGCACATGCACTCATGGCACAGCCACGGAACCTTCGTCAGCCAAGCATCCTTTATTCTGACCCTACTTGGAGGTTCATGGTACTTATAACCCTAACTCTACTGATAAGCCCCCTAAGTCCCCTAAGTAGGTTATGAGTAGACTTATGACTGTGGTTATAAGTACCCATGAACCTCCAAGTGCACCCCAGACCGTCAGCTAACAAGCAACTAACCGTGACGTCGGACACCTCAATTCCACATGGAAAAGTTTCCAAAATTCGGGGGTACCTTCTGGGGTTTAGGGTTTAGGGTTTACGGTTTAGGGTTTCCGAAATTCGGGGGTAACTTCTTGGGGCCTTATTAGAATCCTACAATTTGGGGGCCTACATTAGGGGCCACGAGGCCCAACAATTGGTGTTGGGGGGGAAAGAGTTTAAACCCTAAACCCTAAATCCTAAGCCCAAGACCCGGGCTGGCCTGGTCCTCTGGCCAGTTTAGGTTCTGTCGCGCGGAGACCTCCAGATAAGGAGCGTTAGGGGGTGGTTTTGGGCTTAGCGCTTAGGGTTTAGGTTGGAATATTCCCCAGTATTCTAACAGTCCTTCATAGGGATTACAATCGGGTACTATCATCCCTATTAAGGACTGTTAGAATCAGGGGCAACGTCCCAAGGTTTAGGGCTTCAGCACGGAACCCAGGCAGAATAAGGACGAAGATGTCAATGGCAAGGCTAAACCCTAAACCCTAAACCCTAAACCCTAAACCCTAAACCCTAAACCCTAAACCCAAGAGAAACCGGAAGCCAGGAACCAAGAGGGTACCCTTTTGGGTTTAAAGAGGCAGAGAAGGGAACCCAAACCCTCAAGAAAAGAGGAATCCGGGACGACTCTGGGTCCTAGTTACCCTAAACATCCCTGAACCCTAAACCCTTTTGAGCCTAAACGCGAAACCTAAACCCTAAACCCTAAAGCCTAAACCCTAAACCCTAAACAAAGCAGGGAAATAGAGGCCTACTCTGGGTAGAGAATGTATGCCTTGGTGGTGGGAAGACCCAAGGAGCTGTCAAGTAGCCTCGAACTCGCTCTCCGAAATCAGCATGTCGCCACCTCTGTCTTTTAGGGTTTAGGGTTTAGGGTTTAAGGTTTAAGGTTTGGGGTTTTGGGGTTGTAGGGTTTAGGGTTTTAGGGATTTAGGGGTTTAGGGTTTTAGGGTGTTGGGGTTTAAGGCTTAAGGTTTTAGGGTTTAGTATCCCCCAAGAAACCCCCATAACACACCTTACTCACCCTACTTGCTAAGTCTAAAGGGCTTCCACGTACAGTCGTCCCTACTGAGCCCTAACCTTTTTTTGCATTAGGACCCTAAACCCTAGACCCTACGCTCGAAACCCTAATTAAACTCCAAACCTAAACCCTCCACGATCGAGTTCCGCTTGAGCGCTGGTGTCGATTTGCTTGAACTCCTCAAAGCACTTCCGCACTTCCTCCAGCGGCACGAAGTACCTCAGGTGAAACCCTAAACCCCTTATTTGAGGGCGGACTGCAGTGTCCTAAACCCTAAACCCCTAAGCCCTAAACCACAAGAACTGCATCCGAGAGCACAAAAACCGGACACCTTCTATTGAGGACTATATACCTTAAGTCACATTAATTCCGGATGTATTGTAAGGTATGTGTAAGCTACCCCTAAAGCCTAACTTTACCCAGAATTGGGCACGATCGAGATGAGTGTGCTCACCTCAACTTCATTTTAGGCCACTAGATGAACTATAAACTTCTTGGAGTATGCCTCACGCTCGGTGCCGGGGATATGCTTGCAGACATCGCGCTTTAAACTTTTTGGGTTTCCTGATTTTTTGTAGGATTAGTAAAGTGCAACCTCTTTATTCCGTGGACATTGGAGAAGTAAGACTGATGGAGGTAGTTTTAGTGTAATACCTCCTTTGGGAGTGCCTGGCTTCGGGTTAGGGTTGCATTCTTCACGGCTGTGGGTTTAGGGCCTGAAAGAACAGAAACGGAGACGCCATAATATCATTGGCAGCCATTTCAGCTTAGAGGCTGCTCTAGCTGAAGGTTGGGGGTTTTCGTTCTGCTTGAGTCGATGCAGGTGCGGCTTCGTTTCCGGTCTTGGCTATGCTTAGGCTGACGACTAAGACTCCCGATCTACGTCAACATAGGCAGCCTCAACTCCCGACCTTGGCACGAGTCTGAAGTCTAAGACGGCCAGAAGCCTCCCTGAACTTGTAGAGCGAATTTCAGGGGGTACCCTTTTAAGGGCCCATCCTCAGAGACCATGTAACTACCCTTAGAGAGGCCTAAGCCCCTAAACCCAGACCATGCAACTACCCTTAGAGAAGCCTACACCTCTAAACCCTAAGGGAACGCTTTTGCTTCTGGCATTCCACGGCTGAGACACGGGTTCGAAACAGCACCCGCCCCAAAATGCCTACTTGGAAGTTCAGGGTATAATTGGTTTGCTCTAGTTATAACCTTACTCAAAACCCGACTTAGTTGGAAGTTCAAGGTATAACTGGTTTGCTCTGGTTATAACCTTACTCATAACCCGACTTAGAAGTACGTTGGGATGCTCCCCGAAGACCTTGGTAGGGATTATCACAGGGTGTACTAGAATCCCTATTAAGGACTGTTAGTGTGACAGGGAACGTTTTAAGGGAAGTACCTATGAAACTTCAAGGAAAGCCCAGAACTTGTCACCCTCGGCGGCTGAGCAGAGGCGACCGTGGAGCCTTACTTGGAGGTTCATGGTACTTATGAACCAACTATAACTGTACTTATTAAGTGTGCTAGGGCACAAGGGGCTTCTAAGCGGGTTATAAGTACTGTGATAACTGTATGACCCGTTTTTGAATCCAGACTCTTTATGCCGGCTGGCACGATGACAGATGTAAGGGTCATACTCCTCTAAACCCTAGACCCCGAACAAGCCAAGGAACTGCTTCGCCAGCGCAAAGCATGTGTCGAACATGGTTGCCTTCGCTGGCATCTGAGCGGGCGCTGCCTAGGCGAAAGCGTAGCTTGTCCTCAATCCCGAAATCCTTCGAGGCATCCACACATTCAACCCCAGATTAAAGATCAACCGTTGCAGCTGCCATTGCCTTGTTAGGACGCCACAACAAAAGATATAGTTTAACTATGCCTGAGGCTGTCTCAAAGCCCCTCCCAACCTCAACCCAAAACCCTGTGCAAGCCCAAACGACTGGGTTGTGCTTGAAACCCGTGGGAAACTATGTACGAACAGGTTCCCCTATACGGCAAGAACGGGAATTTAATGAAAATTCCAACGAACAACCGAGACAAGCACGCACCTTCGTCATTCTTCAACGACTTGCTGTTCTTCGTTGGGGGCTTGGGAAATGAGCACCCTATGTTGCCCAGGAACCTCAGTTTTGGAATCTTCCGGAACGCTCTACTAGGGCTTGGGGTTTCGGGTTTAGGGTGTAGGGATTCCACCCCCATGCTTTGCAAACCCTAAACTCTAAACCCTAAACTCTAAACCCTAATCCCTTGGTGCTTCGCCACCCCCAGCCTCTGCTTCTTCTTGTTTGCCTTCCTCCTGCTCCTCTTCGTTCTTGGAGGCATCCTGGACTTATGAAGTTGAAGGCATCGGGTCCATGGGCTTATCTAGCAATGCTTAAGAACCTCCCCCACCACCAAGAACATCATATATATATATATATGGTCACCCCCCCCCCCATGATCTAGGTTTTGCTTTGTCCCTATAAAAACCCTCGTAAATACCGATGAAAATGACATGCTGGCTATGCTAGGCGATGTCCTGTTTTTGCACGTCTAGTCCTATGCGAGAAAACATCTAAATAGTGAAAAACGCGTGTGTTTAGCACTACTTCCACATCACCACATAAAAAAACACCCAAAAAACACATGAAAATGCAATTTGGTAAACATGTCTATGAATTATTTGCATAGGACAGGCTTATAAACACAGAATTGTATGCAAAAAACACTTCTTTTTTGCAGAATTTGCAAAATTTGACACAAATCCAAAAATCCAAAAATCCAAAAACTCAAAACCATGGAGCCGGGAGGCCGCCTTTTTTGGATTTTTTGGTTTTCTCGAGGTTTTTTTGGTTTTTTTTGGAAAAATCCAAAAAAAAACCATGTGTTTTTTTGGATTTTACTTGCTCCTGGCCTCAAAAACCTAAAAAACACATGGTTTTTTTTGGATTTTGAGTGAAAATCCAAAAAAACCCTCGTGTTTTTTTGGATTTCAGGTGCTCCTGGCCTCAGAAACTAAAAAAACACATGGGTTTTTTTGGGTTTTCACTCAAAATCCAAAAAAACCATGTGTTTTTTTAGGTTTTTGAGGCCAGGAGCAAGTAAAATCCAAAAAAACACATGGTTTTTTTTGGATTTTTCCAAAAAAAACCAAAAAAACCTCGAGAAAACCAAAAAAATCCAAAAAAGGCGGCCTCCCGGCTCCATGGTTTTGAATTTTTGGATTTTTGGGTTTTTGGATTTTTTAGCAAATTTAGCAAATTTTGCAAACAAAATGCTTTTCTTGCATAAAGAATGTGTATTGTTATAAGTTGGTTCTTCCATTTCGTTGTTATTTCAATTCAGCCTGTTCGGTATGCAGGGCGTAGCGCTAACATGTAAAGTTCCATTAGATTAAATTACGAATGAGGCTTAGAAGAGGATGTCTTGGGATGTGGCGTCTCAATATAAAAAGTAATATAGAATGAAATAGACAGGGTTTCTTAGGGCGTGTTTCTGAAGATGTGGACCTGCAATTCAAAAGTCTAATTGTACTTCAAAAAGAGTGGGGCTTCGAAGAGGATGTCTTGGGGTGTGGCCTCTTAATTTAAACGTCTATTTAAGTGGAATCACAAACGAAGTCCAGATGAGGATTTCTTAGGGTGTGGTGTTTTAGCGCAAACCTCAAATTACATTTCATTACGACGCGGGGCCAGAGGAGACTTTCACAGGGTGTGGTCGGTAAAATAGAATTCCAAAGAGGGAGGCTTAGAAGAGCGTGGCCTCTTAATTGTTTTACTTGGTTTGGTTTTACGAACGAAGCTGTGGCTTTATCATACACAGGTCTTAGGGTGTGGCCTTTGAAATTCTGTCTAAAGGGGTGTGGCCTCTAAACTTAAAAGTTCAATTTATGTGGAATTACAAACGAGTCCAGATGAGGATTTCTTAGGGTGTGGCGTTTTAATACAAACCTCAAATGCCATTTTATTACGAAGCGAGGCCAGGGGAGAATTTCATAGGGTGTGGTCTGCAAAATAAAATTCGAAATAGGTAGTAACCAATGAAGCTTAGAAGAGGATGTCTTGGGGCGGGGCCTCTTAATTTATTTGCTTGACTTGGGTTTAATTACTAACGAAGCTATGGCTTTATCATACACAAGTCTATGGACATTTCACTAATAGGCCCCAGAAGAGGATCTTAGAGTGTGGCGGTTAAATATGGAATTTTAAGTACATTCAAATACGATACGAATGGGGGCTCATGATAAAAAAATTCTGTGCAAGAGTTTCATACGAACCTAGCCTAGGTCAGAACTTCTTAGGGTGTGGGCTTCTTACCTAGAATTATAAACTTCTTATGAGATTCTGTTACGAACAGGCCCCAGAATGGTGTGGCATTTTTAATACAAGCATCTAGGCAAATCGAAAATAAGTCTAATTACAAACGAAGGTCTAATGAGTATTCTTGGGGTGTGGCTTTGTAATACAGACTTCTAATTAATCTTCATTACAAATAAGGGCCAGAAAGGGATTTCATAGGGTGTGGTCTGCAATATAAAATTCTAACTCGGCTTCATTGCGAGGGATGTCCTTGGGCTGGCCTCTGAATATACACTTGCTTTACTTGGGTTCAATTACGAACGAAGCCCAGAAGAGGATTTCTTAGGGTGTGGGTTTACAATATGAAATCAAATTGCTTTTCATGTCGAATGGAGCCAGAGGAAGATTTCATTGGGTGTGGGAAGAACAAAAAGATTCTAAATAGGTATTAACCAATGAGGCTTAGAAAAGGATGTCTTGGGGCTGGGCCTCTTAGCATGTTTTTTAACTTGGGTTAATTACGAACAAAGCTGTGGCTTTATCAGACACAAGTCTACTGAAATTTCATTAAGAGGGCCCAGAAGAGGACTTCATAGGGTGTGGCCTTTAAGGATAGAATTCTTTCCTAGGGTGTGGGCTTCTTATATAGAAGCACTTTCTCAATAAACTAGGAAGGAAGCCCAGATGAGGATTTCTGAGGCTGTAACCTCTGCATATAAAGTTCTTGTGAGATTTTGTTACGGACAGGCAGGCCCCAGAAGAGGATTTCATAGGGTGCGGCTTTTAATTGGCAAATTTAGATTTCTAAATAAATTTTACTACGAATGAGGCCAATGGCCTTTTAATTTTCATTCCGAATTAGGTTTAAATCTCGTTTCGATGGGCCCGAAAGGCCTTCCGACCTAGATCATGGGGGGGGGGGGGGGGGGGGGGGGATGAGCATATATATATATATATAGATATATATATGCATACATATATACATATATACATATATACATATATACATATATACATATATACATATATACATATATACATATATACATATATACATACATACATATATACATATATTCATATATTCATATATTCATATATACATATATACATATATACATATATACATATATACATATATACATATATACATATACATATACATATGCATACACATATTCATCTTCATATGCATATACATATAGATCTACAAATCTACATATACATATACACATAGACATATACATATACATTCTAAATACATATATATATATAATGTTATATTATATTATATTACATTATATGATATTCTATTATATCATAACATGTTATATTGTATTGTATTACATTATATTATATGTACATATATAGTCTTGCTTATTAAGGGTCATATAGGGATTATTATGCATAATTTTATCGGGGTTCTTATGCAACTAGTAGTGGGGCTGTTGAAAGGTTTTGGCCGCTCACAACTCGGACAAGCCAGGCGGGGCACAAACCTCGAGAGCGGCTGTCTCAGCAGCATCGCGGGCTGCTTTGAGCAACAATACTGAAGGCGTGCTCGGAATATCGGAAGGCCTACTCAGTCTAAGCATGATCATGACCCTTTTTGCATGAACATGAGGCGCTGAAACATACGCAAGCTTGATGTAGACAGAGGCTTCTGAACGAACGTTCAGGAACTTCTCCTTCCTGACGCACTTGTTGGGCCAACCAACCATTGTGCATGTCTGCTGCCTGGTCGATCGCCACACTCTTTTCGAGTCCGATCTAAATCTGACTCATCGCCTTTTCTAACCTGACTCAACCGCCGATTGGGTGGCTGCAGAATGCCGTGCGCGTGCAGCACGACGGTACGCAGCCCGCTTTGCAGCACGACGGGTCCCGACGGGTCGAGGTAATTGTAGAATCTCAGGCAAGGCAGGCACAGCAAGAGCAAAGGAGGCAATGTGATCAACCACCCCTCTCCAGGCAACGTCAAGCCTTCCAGCCTGGCGTGACCACCACCCCGCCATTTGAACGATCACTACCTGATAGCGATGCCTGCACAGGTGATATGCCAAGCGAGCCGCCTCTGCAGCTGCGACATCCCTGTTGATGGTCGCTTCATGAGGCCTGCCCGTGCTTCTCCCTATGTGCGTTCCCTGAAACATGGGTCCTACCCTAAACCCTAAACCCTAAACCCTAAACCCAAATCGCTTGCTGTCAGCCCAGTAGCCTCGCAATGTGCGTGAGACAAACACCGCGTTGCATCGAGCTGGCCGCAACGGATAGCCATTTCAAGCAGCGTCTGACCTGCCCTCCACTTCCATGGCCGTGAACTTCCGGAGATCAACGAATCGAAGCAATAATAAACCATGCTGTCCCGGAATCCGTGATAGCGATGCTGCCAGCAGCTGTGATAGAGTGCAACACATGGGTCAAGCATCAGTGGCCGAATGTCTATGCCCAGATCAACCGCGTGCAGAAGGCAATCCATCCTCAACGCAAGCTGGCAATGCTTGCGGGTTTCCAAAGTCCAGATGCGAAAGCGGAAGCGCGCTGTTTGCTGGATGGCCATCTCACCCACGCCAGAGTTCATGAGCAGAGCTGACAGAGGCCTCTGTTTGCCAGCAATTGCCCTCCCTTGTAGCGTGGCATCTGCGCATAGCTTGCGAAACAGGGGTTGGCACAGTTGGTACGCCGCCGTCATTGCCTCTGTTGTCCGGCGGCCGGCAGTTCCAGTAAAGATGAACCCTAAACCCTAAACCCTAAACCCTAAACCCACATCGTTGCGGAACACCAATGCTGTGAAGGATGGCTGCTTTCTGCGCGTCTCCTGAAACTACAGCAATGTCCAGGAGTGACAGGACATAGTAACCTTCTGGCATGTGTTTTGGATCCAACAAGTCCGCCTCTTGAGGAGAAAGAAACCTCCCGAACGGTTGAGCAAGGCCTCTTGGAGCTTTCTCGTCGACGACTAAGGCTATCGAGCGAAGAGCTGGGTAGTGTGCAGCTACGTGGAAGGATTCGACAGCTTCCTCATAGAGGCAGACGCCTGTGAACCACTTGTCGTGACGCGTTCGGTACCATCGACAGACGATGTCGTCGAAACTCAGCTGGAACTCGACCCCCGCAGCTCGATCAAGAGTCCTCCTGTAAGGGGTGCTCTGTGGAATTGAGCCAGCCATGCCAGGAGGCGTCGTCACACAGGAAAACAAGTGGGGGTTTCCGAAATTGGGAGTACCTTATTGGGGTTCTTCTGAGAAGGGAATCCTACTATTTGGGGTCTGTAGTTGGGGTTCCTGTTTCGTAAACCCCGAGGTGTCTAGTCTTGCTTGTCCTTGGTCTGATGTCAGCCGAAACGGTGCAAGGGCATGCTGAAGAGGGATGCGAACCTACCTGTGGCCAAGCAAGCTTGCGCAAGCGCCTTCCTGGCACGTGAACGCCCCAGTCTTGCGTACGTGCACAGGAAAATTAAGAGCTCCCTTCCCTCCGCCCCAACACACCAAAAACACGTGAACCCAACTCTGGGAACCCTTCAGTCTAAGCCCTCAGTAGCCCAAAACCTTGGGTCCTTTCGGCGTGCGACATGAGCCGGTCGAATATGAACCCTACTTGGAGGTTCTTGGTACTTAGGAACCAATGAGAACTGTACCTTATAACCCACTTATCAGTCCATTACCCTGGTATGGCTATATATAAGTACAGCTATAATAAGTATAACCCACTTGTAAGCCCATTAAGTGCCCCAGTATGGGCATAAGTACAACTATAAGTACAGATGTACTTGGTTAGTACTAAGCACCATGAACCTCCAAATATAGTGAGCCATGGTCGGCCTCCTCTGGGTCCTCCTTCTCGTGATGCTTGCTGTTTGAGGTCTTCCTGGGCACACCCAAAGAGCCCAATACCCCCTTAATTAAGGAATATTCCTTAAATCATGTTAAGGATCCCTTTATAATTAAAGGTATATTCCTTATTTAAGGAGTACTGGGCTCTCTGGGCACAGGTCTGTAGGCTCCGGGATGTCGGAGTGGCTCGGGGCACCCTGGAGCCTGAAGCCCTAAAAGCACGCTTCAGCCCATGCCCCCTGCCCCAAGCCCCAAGCCCGAAGCCCTCCACCCTAAACCCCAAACCCTGCACCCCAAACCCTAAACCCTAAACCCTAAACCCTGAACCTTTGCAGTCTCTTAACAGCTCCAGAGCCCCTAGTCCCAAAGAGCCCTTTGTAGTTTTTAAACGAGGGAGAATATCCCCCAGAGCCCAATACCCCTTAATGAACAACATACCCTAAGTTATATTAAGGATCCTACATAATTTAGGGACTATTCCTTATTTAAGGGTGTTGGGCTCTTTGGGCCATGAAATCGTGTTCAGGATCCCAGTATTCTTCCTAAAGTGGAAGCGGACTCTTTGAGGAATCCCCTTCTGGGCTTCCCCATTCTTTTCATACGGCGCCCTAGACTAGGACCCGCGAAAAAGTGCCCTTCATCTAGAGAGCCTTAGTTGAGGGGGGGGGGGGGGGGGGGGAGAAACCATACCGCGATGGTCATTCTTATTCTATCATGACTGCTTTTTTGATTTGAGGCATTTTCGGGCCCCCTTAGCCCTTCCTTTGACAGACGCGGAAGTGGCCCAAAACCTGAGCACTCCAGTTCTGGAGCTGACCATGCGGGCTAGCTGCTTCAGGGCCGCGCCAAGACCTGCAGACAAGCTGGACAGTTGCTGGGGTCCCCAAAATTGACCACACGAGGGCCTTAGGAGGGAGGGAGGCCTAGAACAAGGCCTCGGGGGGCCGCCAAGGTACGGAGTACACTTACTGGGGTTCAAGTGCCAGAAGTTTGGATGCTGGCAGGCAGCACGACAGACAGTCCATCCAAGCACCCAAGAGGGTACTTACGATGGGAAGGAGAAGCTGAACGTGACGCCCATGCATCTGCGGTTTAGGGTTTAGGGTTTACTCGGCACTGTCTCTGAGTCTGAGCAACTGAGCACGACTGCACTGTGAACCAGCACATGATCGGGACCACCCCCCAGCAGTACTGAAAGTTCTACAGGGCGGCATCCCAATTCAACAAGACATCCAAAGTTTAGGGTTAAGAGTTTATGGTTTGGGTTTGGGTTTAGGGTTTAGATTCGGGTTTAGGGTTTAGGGTGTAGGGTTTAGGGTTTAGTGCTTAGGGTTTAGGATTTAGGGTTTGGAGGTTTCTATAAGGGGGACTGGCGACCTCCGAACGGCGTCAAGGCTGTCGCCGCCAGCCGTATGTGGGACCATCCGGCCGCCTTCTTTGACACCGTGGGGGTCCTGGTCAAAGAAAGGCGGCAACGCGAAAGCACTGAAGCCCTACCCTGAAATTTTCCCAGCCCTAGAGCCCTAACCCCGAAATCCGCGGTTTAGGGTTTAGGGTTTAGGGTTTAGGGTTTAGGGTTTAGGGTTTAGGGTTTAGGGTTTAGGGTTTAGGGTTTAGGGTTTAGGGTTTATAGGGTTCAGGGTTTAGTTTCGGATACCCGAGACCTTGTCTACAGCCCGTGTCCTGGGCAGACCCGGCTTCTTTGAAGGTACCTGAGCCATCGGACTTGGGGTAGGGTTTAGGGTTTGGGGTTTAGGGTTTGGGGTTTGGGGTTTAGGGTTTGGGGTTTAGGGGTTAGGATTTAGGGTTTAGGAGTTTGGTTTAGGGTTTAGGGTTTTGGCCGCATTCTCTCTGGCCTGCACCCTGAAACCTCCAGAAGTTCCGGGCTTAGGGTTTATCCAGGACGGCGGTTGAAGCTAGGTGTTCGCGCCCTAGGCCCCAAACCATCCCAAACCATAAACTCTTAACCCCTTAACCCTAAAACCCTAAAACCCTAAAACCCTAAAACCCTAAAACCCTAAAACCCTAAAACCCTAAAACCCTAAAACCCTAAACCCCTAAACCCTAAAACCCTAAAACCCTAAAACCCTAAAACCCTACAACCCTAAAACCCTAAAACCCTAAAACCCTAAAACCCTAAAACCCTAAAACCCTAAACCCGAAACCCTATACCCTGAACCCGAAGCCCCAAGCCCTAAGCCCTAAGCCCTGAAAGCGCCAGGAGCAGGCTAAGGGCTTTCTAGCCATGTCTAGCGGCTCTAGCGCCCGGAATCTGAAAAGAAGATCCCTCCTGAACCCCCCCAAGCCCTAAACTACTATTTGCTTAAGATACCCCCCCAAAAATAAAACAGATTTTTCCTGATAAGGGCAATATAGGCATTATCATGTTTACGGTTTACTCTCTTTTTTTTTTTTTTTTTTTTTTTTTTTTTGGGGGGGGGGGGGGGGGGGGCGGGGGTTCTTCAGCAAATCGTGGTAAACCTGCCGATGACTCCAGGGTTCCAACTCAACTATAGGCCCTTGAATTTGGGCCCCTTGTTCTATAAACCTCATATACACTGAATATATATATATATATATGGAAAGACTAGTAATAAGAAGAAGAATAACGATAATCATAATAGTAATAGCAAAAATACTAAAAACAACCAGAATAACAAGAATAATGATAGTAATGATGATAATAATGGTAATAATCGTAGTAATATTAATAATAGAAATAATAGAAATAATAGAAATAATAACAATAATAGTACTAATAGTAATAATAGTCATAATAAACAGATTTTTCCTGATAAGGGCAATATAGGCATTATCATGTTTACGGTTTACTCTTTTTTTTTTTTTTTTGGGGGGGGGGGGGGGGGGGGCGGGGGTTCTTCAGCAAATCGTGGTAAACCTGCCGATGACTCCAGGGTTCCAACTCAACTATAGGCCCTTGAATTTGGGCCCCTTGTTCTATAAACCTCATATACACTGAATATATATATATATATACATGGAAAGACTAGTAATAAGAAGAAGAATAACGATAATCATAATAGTAATAGCAAAAATACTAAAAACAACCAGAATAACAAGAATAATGATAGTAATGATGATAATAATGGTAATAATCGTAGTAATATTAATAATAGAAATAATAGAAATAATAGAAATAATAGAAATAATAAAAATAATAATAATAGTAATAATGTAATATAATACATAATAATAATATAGTAATAATAGTAAAAGAATAATACTAATAATAGTAATAATGAAATAAACTAATATAATATAGTAATAATAGTAATAATAGTGATAATAGTAATAATAGTAATAATCGTAATAATAGTAATAATAGTAATAATAGTAATAATAATAATAGTAATAATAGTAATAATAATAACAATAGTAATAATAGTAATGATAGTAATGATAGTAATAATAATAATAGTAATAATAGTAATAATAGTAATAATAGTAATAATAGAAAATAATACTAATAATAGTAATACTGAAAATAATACTCATTATAGCAATAATGGTAATAACAGTAATAGTAGCAAAAATACTAATAATAATAATAATAATAATAATAGTAATAACAGTAAGTGCCCATACTTCGGATCCCTATAAATAAAGGGACCATACTAAGGGTAAGGGCCCATGTTAGAGGGAGGGGGACATCCGCAGATTTGCGGCCTCCGGCCTCCTACCAGGGAGTCAGGGCTTCTGCGGCGACCCCCCCCCCCCCTTAACCCTAAGCCTAAACCCTAAACCCTAAACCCTAAACCCTAAACCCCTTCGGCCGGACGCACCTTGCTCCCAAGGCGGTTCCGAGCAACAACGTAGCATAACATCGCATGAAGCACTATGAGATACCAGAACATACGGTTAGGGTTCACGGTTTAAATTTAGGGTTTAGGGTTTAGGGTTTAAGGGTTAAAGGTTTACTGTACTACATCAGGAACTCTACTACACAAGACACCGAAGAGCCCATAGCTGAACCCAAATTATTGGCTTCTTGAAGCCGGTGGGGGGCGTGGGGGGGTGTTTAGGGTTTAGGGTTTAGGGTTTTGGGTTTAGGGTTTCGTCGCTCACTCTCGCACAAGGCAGGCAAGGTCCGTCGGTCCGAATAGGCTAAATAGGCTAATCGGAGTCCGGAGTCCAGCTACTACATCGGCACTAGGCTCCTGCATTGAAACAAGGTTTAGGGTTTAGGGCTTTGGTTGGAGTCTCTGCAACTTGCCACCGAGATGCGCGCTTGCTCATTGACCTGCATGGACTCTTCACAGAATCTCACATTCAAGGTCCCAACGCATCCTCTGCGCATTAATTAGGGTTTGGGGTTTCGGGTTTTAGGTGTGACATGCAAAAACAACAACCCTAAATTCAACCAAACACCTCGGAGGTTCGGGCTACTTATAAGCCCCCTAAGTCCTCTAAGTAGGTTTTAACAGACGTGTACTTGGGGTTATAAGTACCCCTGAACCTGCAAGGAGCTCCCAGATCACAACACCAGATTGTGCACTGCACCGCATCACGTGCATGCATGGCCTTGAGGGACTTCGCTCCTCCTTCTCGTGCTCTGGCCTACATGCGGCCGGTGGCGTGGTTTAAGAACCCTAAGCCCTAAACCCTAAAAGGGCTCAGGGTTTCAGGGTTTCAGGGTGCAGGGTTCTCACCAGTAGCACCTCAGCTGAACAAACAGCTGCCCCGTACTGGGCTGCTGTCAGGGAGCTCTACTTGGAGGTTCATGGTACTTGTTAACCGAGTATAACTGTACTCATAACCCACTTATAAGCCCCTTAAGTGCCCCAATATGGTTGATATGTACAGTCATAATTGGTTGCTAAGTACCATGAACCTCCAAGAAATGGGATTACCTTGGTAAAAGCCAGGGAAGCACCTTGTTTACAATTATATTGTGTTATCCATGTGGTGGTAACTTAGTGCTACATCACTTCCCGCTACAGACACCTGTATTCGCTAGCCATGCACTTGGCAGCTCTTTTGACGCCTAAACCCCAATAAAACCCTAAACCCGAAACCATAAACCCTAAACCCTAAACCAACCCTAACCCTAAACCCTAAACACTAAACCCTAAACCCTAAACCCTAAACCCTACTTACTGAGTCAAAAGGGCTTCCATGCACGGGGGGGTCCCAAGTGGCCTCCTGATCACGCTTCCCTTGCTGTTGTCGCGGTCCTCGGAGTTGTGATCCGTCGGCGTATGCCTCAAGCTCCAGTTAAAGTTGATTAGGGTTTAGGGTTCAGGGTTTAGGGTTGTAGCGTTTATATGTCAGTTTAACAATATACTATATGTATATACCATGTGTATACATATATATATATATACATACATGTCCCTCTGTCGTTGCTGTTTTTGGCGGCTGTGTTCGCCAAATGCGAAACTGGCACTTTCGCCTGAAGTTATAATCAGGGATCCTTGATTATTTTAAAGGCAATATTCCTTATCTGAGAGGTATAGACGGCTCTTTGGGTATATGTTCGTGGGGGCTGATCTAACAGTCCTTCTGCGAAATCATTTAGGGCTCTTATTGGTTTAGAAGGGAACTGTAGGGTAACTTTGGGGACAGGTGTGTTTTTCAACTCCCAGATGTATATGCACATACACACATACACACATACACACATATACACACACATACATACATACATACATACAGACATACATACATACATACATACATACATACATACATACACACACATACATACATACATACATACATGCTGTGAAGTCGACCAGCACTGGACTTGCACTCAGCCAATGCAATCACAGCCCGGCCACGCTGTTTTACGACTTCGCGAGTCCAAGCACTTGTGCAGCTACGCCTGAGTGCGTCCGGTCGGACCGCACAGCAACCTAAGAGCTACTGTACGAAACTACCGTGCTCAAAGGCACAAGCTCGGTACTTGAGCCAAAAATATTGGCATTGTTACGAATTGCAAAACTACACATGCAAGGGAAAACGACACGCTGCACTAGCACTAAGCAAGCACTCCATGCATGCTTTGACCTGCTCACATTCGCCCCTCAGCCGAGGCTTCCGGCTCACCCAGAGCTCATAGTGCGTCAAGCACTTCAGCAACGCGGCCAATGGGGTAGGGCGAGGGTGTCGCGTGCGACTCTGGTAGAGCCCGCACATCATGAGCATTGGCATGCGGCTTGGGCGGCAGCCCGCACTACCAAACGGACGCACGACGACAGCAGCCCTCTACGACCCTAAACCACCCCAAGTCGCGAGCGCTCACCTTTGTGCAGGCAGGCGAGGCTCCAGAGTACTGGGCAGGTCTTTGTGCTGCTAGTGCAAAGCTATGGTACAAATGGTACACTGTACAACTACCGGCCCTAAGCTACGGCTACGGCTACTCACCTATCCAGAACTACCCTACGGGCTACCGGACTCAGCGAGAGCCGCGCACATTGCTTGTGCCGCAGCCAGTGCAACTCGCACGCGCTTCGGCGAGCGCACTGCCGCGACCAGGACACGGTCCGCAGCACCTGCAAAAGAGCTCCCTCGACGAGAGGGGCCACAGGCAGGGCGGAGAAGAAAAGTGCGGGGAATGCAAAATGGGCAGGCTTCCAACCTGCCGCGGCTTTTCGCCCGCAGTCACGCAAAAGAAAGTGCAAAAGGTTGGCGAAGCAGCGTGCCGTGCTGCAACGCCGGCTCTGATAATGCGTGGATACATACCACGCCGCGCCAACTGGCCGCAGCCTACTCGATACCCTGTGGAGCAGTGTTGGGGGCACGAGTGGCGTTGCCAGCAACGTTGGAGCTACTGGCTCGCTCCAACTGAGGGCGCTTTGCAACCGCCTCATCGAGGGAGAATGCCTCGGCCGACACCCTCTGGAATTCCTCGACGTAGGACTGCGCGACAGGGTGCGTCTTGGGGACCTCAAGCTTAAGCCCTGCCTCCGCATTGGCCTTGCTGCTTGTGGTAAAATTGAGGCTCCCAATCAGCACCACCGCGCCGTCAGGCCGCAGTAGGCAAAGGGCCTTGGCATGGTGCAGCCCTTGAATCCCGGTGCCTACCTTAGCCCCGCGGCCGTCGCGAGCATAGGCGTCGCGCAAGGATGTGCCGCAACCCACCTTCACCTCGGCACCTGCGGCCGCCAAGCGTTTCAACGCTTGCCACTGAAGCTTGGTGCGGTGGCATTGTCCCATGTCGGCGACAATCCTAACGCTTGCGCCCTTGCCAAGCGACGCTTCGATTGCCTCGATGCAGGATGGGCAATCTAAGCTGTAAGCCCGGATGTAGATCACATCCTCTGCTGCTCCGGACCCAAGCAGCGTTTGGGCGGCCTGAATGTATGGCCCGCCCGCAAGGAATTCCGCTTCTTTGACTGGAGAACTCCTAGCGGGGGCTGGGCCCTTGTTCCTCCGGCCTGGCGTGCGCGCCACAGTGGCAGTGGCGGCACGTTGCACGGAGCCGGAATGTGCGTGGGCTGCGCTCGCTCCATCTGCTGGGGCCGCGGCCAGGTCACGACCCGCGAGCCCCTGAAAGCAGGAGAGCCCGCGGCTCTTGGCCGCGAGTTGGGAGAAACACCCTTCACTGTTCCCCAAACCCAACACCACCTTACCCTTAGCTAGGGCATCGGAGGCGGTACTCCGAATGGAGTCTGTGAGCGCAGGACCCGCGCCTCGCTGGGCCGCGTGCAAAAACCCTAAGGAACGAGCGGTGTCCATTGCGGCATCGCAATGCCCGCAGCGTCCTTCTGCCAGGTAAGCACGACAGCCACAGGCAGCTGTCTCCTCCTTGAGATGCACCCAAACCTTATGGGTCACCCCTTTCTTGGTGCTCGCGACTTCAAACGTCGCCTCGGAGCCAAGGAGCTGAGACAGCCGCGCCTCAGGGGCCGCGGTGTTGCCATGTCGCAAATGCGCAATGCGATTGGCAACGGCACGACTCACGTACCACAGAACAGCACCGCACAAGATCACTACTACCAGAGTGATGGCTGTTCCGGCGACCCACACGGTCCGCCTGGCCCCATGACCGATTTCCTCAACAACGTCGGCCGAAACCGTTGCAACCGCGTGCATGGAGTCCTCGACGACATGCACGACCCCGCGGTGCAACTGCAAGGCAATCGGCGCCGACGCTGCAGCCGCCAGGCCCCACCAGCCGTTGATGTTCCCGTTGAGGGCGTGCATCAACCGATTGAGGAGCCCGCGACCCAGGAAAAAGGGGGTCCGCGGCGGAAGCGGAACACTCGGCGGCGGCCGGGCCGACCCGCACGGGAAAGCTGGGACCCAGCTGGTGCTTGGGCGGGGTTGGAGCGCGGCAACAATGCCCGCGGCGAAAGCGCCCCAGGCGTACTTGCCCCTCCCCTTGGGCCTGCCTTTGGCATCGGACTTGCCTCTGCCCTTCGGCTTGCCCTGGCCCTTGCCACGGGCGTCTGCCCAAGCACCCCAAGGGTCGCGGCCCTTGCCGCGCGTCGCCTCCTCGCGACGTCTCTTGCCGCCCCTCTTCTTGTGTTTGCTTCTAAGAAGAGGCTGGATCGTTTCCTGATCCATCGCGCGATTGGCCAGAAGGATCTCGTACTCCAGCTCATCTTGGCTGCTCTCGGAGCCCGAGTCCCTCTGTTCGCCGCGCCGCGGATCCGGGATCCCGCGGGACACGACCTCTGCCAAGCGGAGGGGTGTGCTGCACCTAAAGCACAGCTGCCTGAATGAAAGGTTCCATTCATAGCAGTTAGGGCACTGCCACCCTGCTATGCGGAGCGCTTCGCTGATGTGATCATCGCGCTCCGCCTTCTCCGCCTGGCGCCGCTCCCGCTTCTTGGCGCGCTCGGCCGCCTGCGCCTCCTCGGCCGCCTGGAGGGCTTCAGCGAGTTCCTCATCGCTGAGGAGCCTCGCGGCATCTGCCCGCGCTTGTTGGTCTTCAAGCTCTTCGGCAGAAAACCTCCGCCGCCATTGCTCCGGCGCGGTTTGGGGATCCACCTCCCACCACCCGATGTCGATCCCATTGATCCATCGGCCGTCGCACGGGGCGCCCGCATTCGGGCCGCCCGCGTGCGTGGTGAGGCACTGGTCCTCGGTCACCGGGTTAATGGCTTCGCAGAAGAAGCACCGCCAGCTGCCGTAGGGGTAAAAGCGGCCTTCGACGTAGGCTCGGTTGGCTGGGAGGGCGACCTCGTCCGCCTCATCCGCGGTGGCAGCCTCCATCTCAACCGAGACCTCTTCGTCCTTGACGACCTCAGCCTCCTCCTCCTGTTCCTCCTTGACCAGGGGCTCTTCCTCCTCCCGGCCAACCTTGAGGTGGGACTCGGTGCGAACCTCGGCGCGCATCAAAATGACGTCAAGGCTATCCGCGGCTGGGTCGCCCGCGAAGAAGGAGTCGATCTCCTTGGCATGGAGATCGTCGAGAGGCGTCACCAGGTCCGGCGAGTAATCTCGCTTGGAGCGACGCTCGGCCAGGCGTCGCTGGACGTCGCCCTTCGGCGGCTCGAGGGCCCGCCCGCGCGGAGCGGCCTTCCGCGGAGGCTCGGGCACGGCCTCCTCCGTGGGCTCGCTCTTGGGCGTGGACCCTCCATCGCTTCCCTCTGGAGCACCAGGGGGGTCCAGCTCGGGGTCGTCGCGAAGCCACCCCGGCGGATGGCTACCACCATAGATGTGGTGCGATCCATCCTCAAGCTGGATTCGGTCCCCTCGCCTCAGGAGCGGGACTCTCGAGTGATCGTACCCGTTGGCTTTGTGGTACCTAATCACTCGGAGCATGGGCACCTCCCCATACCCACCGTCCTTTCCTCGGCGGAACAGCCGTCCCCGCCAGTCCTGACGAAAAGGGTCAAGAGGTGCGGAGGGGCTGATCCCCAGGTTGGGCGGAAGAGAGGCGCCATGGCAGGCCGCCTGATGCAAGTGGTACTGCACCAGCGACTCAAAAGCTAGCCCGCATCCCGGAGCCGAACATCCGTAGTGGCCGTCAGCGTTGGGGCGAGGCTCCTCTGAGGCTGAGGCGGACTGGGCGGTCCCGCCTCCCGAAGGCCTGGCGGAACTGCTCGGCCCTGCAGCCCCGGGGGCGTCCTGACCATCGTCAGACACCTCTTCCCCGTCGGCGCCTTCCCCGGCCGCCCGACTCTCTCCCTCTCGGCGCAGCGTTTTGAGGGACTCCTCCCGCTTGGTGATCTTCTCCAGCTTCACCATCGCAGTTCCCGCAACCTCCAGTATTCTCGACTGGAGCTTCTGCGCTCTAAGGAGAGCTTCGG